TAGTCTTTCCAAGAACTATGAAATGAAGTCTCTTCTGCTATTGATGGCTATAAAGGGTTGCCTCAGGCAGCTCACTGTTACCGTCTACTAAAGCATTCGTTTTTCACCTTCAGAGGTAGCCTGGAAGATGGCACTTACCTGCTGAAAGGTTGGGAAGGGAATGTTCAAACATCTAAATAAACCGCGCATATTACTGAAAATGCACCATGGATGAGGAATACTCCACAGGAGGGTCACCAACTCCTTCAGTCCCTTCTTTAGGAAGGAGGTTCTTTATATCAGCAATATATCCTGAAGGGTTTAGAGACTAAAGCAAGGAGGAGATGAAATCCTAACCTCAATGCTTGAGAAATACAACATGTGACTGCTTTTAGAAAACAGGATTGAAGATGAGAACCTACATGGAAGATAGCTATAAATGTCAATGGAAGATACAAGTTACAGGTACAACCATGTAAAAACATTTTGATAAACATTCCCAAAAGGAGCATTTGCCAGCACCTGATGCAGCTCCTGTACCTGACCTGAACAGGAGCTATTCAGCTGTGACCCACGACTGGGACTTCATGCCACATGGCACGAGTCAACAGGAATGCAAGGCTACAGACCTAGGTCTTTCCCCCAAGAAAATTCACATCTGATATTCTTCAGGGTACCCAAGCAAAAAAGCCTGCGGATATGAGTATTCTTGCTATTCAGCATGGACTTTTAGCACACGCAGACACTACACGTAGGCAGCTCAGCTCGAGATAAGCCAAGTCACAGTAATGGTCTTCCCTGTGCTCCCACCAGGACCTACGGCCACATACTAAGTTGCTGCAGCCCACATCACCGCAGTGTCCGCCAGCTCGGGACACAGCAGCTTGGTTCTGCGTGCCTATACCTGCCAGCCGCAGACACAGCTTACGGGAAGTCAATGCAGAGCTGCCTGCAAGGGCCTGGCTCCACATACTCACCTCACAACGTATCACAATGACCTGCCATGGCAAAAAGAAGAAACGTGGCTACAGTTTTCCGCTGTAAATCCAGGCAAGAGGAAAGATGTTCCATCAAGGACAGAGACAGACAGTCACCCCATAAAACTGGGTTTGTTTGACATGCCAAACCTCACTGCTCCCTGGGAAGCAGCTTCAATCAGATATCTGTTGAGAGGAGACGTGAGCACACCCGCCGGGAACAGCACACACACAGAAAGGCCTTGTCTCAGTGAAAATGAAGATTGCGCAATGGCAGCTCTGCTACATTTTATAACGAGGTTAAAGGATTTTGTGCTGGAGAAAACTTCCTTGGGAAGAAAAAAAAGTAAGTTTTGGCTAGCTCCAGCGTTCCCAACTATTAATCTTTCTAAAGCTACAGACAGAGGATTTGGGAACTCTGATGAAGATTATTAAAAAAAACCTGGCTTTCACACTTCAAGTGTGTACCATTAGCTAGTTATGGCTGGGAAAGGTTAATAAATGGTCTCTTCCTCAGAGGCTAAGAAAAATGCTGTGGATATCTCTATTATAAGACATCTAGCCATCACTCTCATGTTTGTGTCTTAAGAAAGCAATTAGTCTCTAGAAGGTCATTAAAATTTGATAAATGACCACAGATTCTTGAAGATGTCTTTCAGCTGGTCTTTCTCCCTTGCAGCTCAGACACTACGCTGTCATCACGTTAGCCAAAGGTGAGGCATTTTGTTTGCTACAATCATAAAACTTTCACTCTATATTAAGGGTTACCAGAACCAGGAGCCTTGAATACAGATTTTAATAACAGATGAAAATTTCAAATCTATGCCTAATGCCCATCTGCTTCTGAAAGACAGTAAGATGACTCAAAGCTGGTAACCTGATCACAAGAGTCTTTTCCTAGCCAATGAAAAAACCTGGATACAAGCTGTCACAACCACCTCCTCAGCCACGTATTTTCTGCTGAATGGAAAACATACCTTACAATCACTTTGCATTCTGCCCCAAACCTTTGAGGAAAACAAGAGATGCTGTTTATGTATTTCACCACCGCTTCTGTGGATATTATATATTCTGAAATAATCCTATTTATAGACATCATACACAACAGTACAACTCCACTAAGAATACAGTTCAGAAATAAGAGCTGTAAACTAAACAAGATAGATGACCAGAAAACAAAGCATTTCTATTTGTAACAATGCCTTGGGCCCCTAAAATGAGAGCGGCAGTATTAGAAAAATGCCAGCCTTCCAGGTCTTCACTTCTGTGCTGCTTCTCCTTTATGCTGACAAGTACCAGAAACAACAATTATCTCTGCCTGCTTCAGGATATGTCCAGAATAGCAAGCATGCAAGCAAATCTACAAACTGAATTTAGTGCTAGATACTTTTACAGCTCCCTTTGAAGTGGTTCTGTACTTCACAAAGCAGGACCTGATCATGCAAGGTAGCATTCTCAACTCTTGACAGTCAAGTCAGTAGTCTAGGTTTCAAGGGAAAGTCCAAGAAACCCTGGGAAGGGAATGTCTTTGAAAAACGCAGCTCCTAAGATACTCCACCTAATTCACCCAATCTATGGATGTTCTTACTTCTAATACTATTATTTTGTGTTTCCCTCTTAAATTCTGGGGGAAAAACACCTGTACATGCTAACCCAGTGAGCGCAGATGCCTATACATACCTCGACTTTTTTAAGCTCCTGTTTTACTCTTGACTTCAAAAAAGGACTTCCCTGCCCACCTAAGACTGTGCAGCAGGTCTAGGTATGTAGGTCCAGTGTCTGCCGGAACACAGACTCCGCAGGAGGTGGTTGCGATATCCCTGCGGGGATACAGTAAAGTCAACCACTTCATTGATTGCACATCTGGATACGGCTGCTACTCCAATTGCCCTGAATTTTGCTGAATGTAACATGGTGGAACTGCAATGGCAGAGGCTGCCCCCAACCTCTGCCACAACTAGCATCCTACACCCAAGGAAGCACATGGTTTTCACTGTCTGCTCAATGCAGTATAACTGGTATGACAATCTGATACATGGCAGCTGGTGTGGGCTGAGCTCCCTTGCACAGGTATTATTAAACATTGCTTACAGTTAAAATCTTCAGGGCAACTTGAGTTTGGCTGTGGTCCTTGAAAGCCTCTCCACATAGACTCATTTCTTTCGCTCCAAAACATGAGGTTGGTGACCAGAACACACCTAAGCCCTGGTCGTGCACTGGGGGCACCAACACTAGTTCAACACTAGCTCAGCTTCTCAGTGACATACAGGCACTGAAAAGGTGACTCTTTCTGGCTGACTTATTCGGCTGTCCTGGAGGCAAGAAGTCCTGATCCAGTCCGAGCACGCTAAGGAAATAACCTCAGAGAAATTAAAGAGGTGACATATCCTAAGTCTTCCACACAGGAATGCAGAAAGGAGAAGAAAGGATTAGAGTATGCAAAGTTCAGGAGCAAGAAGTCAGCTCGTGGTTGTCGCCAACCTCAAATTTCACAGGGTGGTCTTAAATGATGGAAAAGACTCCTTCAGAACTCACCCCATTGCTTAGCAAACAACTGTTTCTGTTACAGAATTAAAAAGCCTCATATAAAAGACCAAGACCAGAAGACACAGGAACAACAAATAAACGTGTAACAAATAAAAAAAAGTGTAACAAATGAAAATACCAAAAATATGCATCTACTCAGGCCATCTCTCTGAACTCAAAAAAATGTTACTATTAACTGACTTGCTCGTAGTCTATGCAAATCATAACTCAACTTTCTTTAAAAAAGTTTCTGAAAACATTCAAATATTAGTAATAGAAAAATGAACCATTTTTATAACAAAAATCTTGATTTGTTAAAAGCTGGAACTGGTTAAAAATAAATCCTTAACATAAGGTTCTTGTTAGCTTTAAACTGTAAGCATAAAAATACCCTAAAATTATGTTTTGGTATGGATGAAATGTACACTATATAATACATAAAAAGAGCCTTGACTTGCTGCTATTATTTTTAATTAGGTTCTCTAGCACGTATGGTTTTACCTTCCAACACCAATTCAAATTTGGGAAAAGGGAGGGTCTGAGTCTCCAAACTCATGGGACTGGTAATTCCATGGCTCATGCCTTGGAGCACTAATGCATTTTACATTAGCTCTGAGCATCAGGAAATTCTGGCTTCTGGCGCCAAGAAGTTCAAAACGATAATGACACACATCTGAAAACTCGGATTCGCCGTTCGACTGCCAGTATCTATTCTATCAAACAATTCGGTCCTGCTCTGTTACAAATAGGACAGAACATTTGCAGCAGTCCACACTGTTTCCAATTAGACTGTGTGTCTGGACTGCAGATAAATCCACAGAGCAATCGTATCGAAAAAAGTCTTCTTAGAAAACAGAATTCTCATGAGAAATCTGAATATTTACAGAGGCTATCATCAATGGGCAATTACCAAGTTTGTCATTAGCCAAACTTCAGCTTTTGTCTGTTTTCTTTCTTGAGGTGAGCCTCCAAAATGCCTTGAGACATTACAAGAAAATTCTACAAATACTTTATTTAACTATGTATACACCAGATGTATTTTGCTACTCATTTTAGGTGGAATACAACCAGATTAAAAAGCAGCTTACTAACATAGCTCCCTGATAAGGGACTGAAGTTTGAGGCCGAGCAACCTACTTTAACTTTTACCCAAGGCCACTCAAGACTTTTTTTTCCCCAACTGAACGCTTTCTGGCAAAACAAGAGCATCTTGGCTGGCGCTATATCTTAACTTTATTGGGAACAAAGGACTCTGCAAGCTTCACCCTACACACTTTTCCCCCCACTTCTGCGGGGGTAAGGAGACTGTCAGGACCACAGACCCATACAATGTTCTGGTTAATACAGAAATCTGCTGTCTCCTGGGTGGTGTGCCTACTTTAAAGCTGAAAATGGTAAGTCATAGAGTAAGAGTCCCAGAGTAACCTATAGCTCATACTTCCCTCAGTTTCTCCATCACCTGCATGTTCTGAAGCGAAGGCTGCGCATTTGGAAACAACTGCCGCCAGCATCCCCTTCCCAAACCCAGGCTCCACGCAAAGGGTTACACACTGGTCCGAACTCAATCCTTACTGAGTATAAACACTTCCCTTTTTCAAGGGGACCCATCTCTTAAGTCCTACTTTTTTCTCCTGATCTGAGCATTCTAGTTGTTTTAATTTGTTCTTAAAGATGTCACCACCATTCCACCCCTGGTTCAGCTTTCTGGTGCATCGCAAGTAGAATCAACAAGCGTAACCATCCATTGCACTTTTAACACTCACAAGAAGCCAAAGTAAGGGAGAAAAGCCCTTTTTGCTTCAGCTGTACATACTGTGAATTACTCATATTGTACAAATGGTGACAGATGATGTAAGTGGTGAAAATAACATTCTTCCTTTGCAAAGAAACAACTTCAACCACAGGGCTGGGCATGTCCAGAGAGCATCCTGTTAAACTGAATCCTGCACCTTGACTGTAAAGTGTTTGAAATATTTCCTGCTAATGAGTGCACATAATTCATGCTCTATAAAAGGCATTTCCTAAACGCTACAGGATCTATGCAGATTTCATTCTTTGAACTGAGTCTTTTTTTATTTATTTTGAACTCATGGGAGAAGTCTACTCAGAAATTCAAACTAGAACAGCTTGCTAAAATTCAGAGAAGGAGAGATCATTGACCAGAGGGGGAACTCAAAGAAACATGTCCCAACAGTCAAGCAACATCTTTTGCTCATCTAGCAAATTTTCAAAGTAAGTGTCATCAGTAATCTAACTGAGAATACCTTGGGAAGACTTAGGTTAAGGGGAAAAAACAAAACCAAACAAAAAAACAAACCCACAGGAATAGTTCTGGCAGCTGAGAAACTTATTTTCAACAATTTAGGAATACTAGAAACAAAAGTCTTCTAGGTAGTCATCATCTCAAGCCTCTCTCTAGATATTTCCCAACAACGTCTGAATCTTATTTAAGTAATTGTCATAATATGTAGTTAGTGGTGTGTTCTAGTTTTACTTTTCTACTCTACAGCTTTTGGAAAGCTGTCATGTATTACAATGTGTACGTTAACATGTTAAAAGAAACATAATTCAGCAGACAGACTAGAACTGCTTTTTTAGTCTAAACCATTCCCACTGCTATAAGGGCAAAAATTGCTGAACACAAATGAGGCCCTATAAAGAAACTTGAATAGCTATTGTTTGATTATGTGTATTCTTTACAAACAGCAATTTACGTGCTAGAGAAGGGATGCTGCCCAACGAGGTCACCGTTCTGAAGATGGTAATCACCGAAGAAATCCGGACTCACCACTCCATCGGGGGCTATTAGGCCATCTACAAAAACAAGAAAGGTACAGTGACTGTATGAAGAAGCATGACTTCAGGGCAAGTGGGCAACACAACCTGTGCTGGTTTGTCTTCAGAGTTCGTTAGCAACTTGCAGTATTTCTGGGAGGAATATCAAGCAACAATAATGATGAAAAACAGCAACTTCCATGATAAAAACAGTAGCTCAGCATACTGCCCTAAAAAAAGCCATACCTAACTCTTACCCTTCTTCCTCGGGCCTGTAAAGGTTGTATCAAGATGCATCGTCTGCCCCATTATGAAAGTGAGCCCAGAAAAACAGTATAGAGAAGACCCAAACATTAATCTGGGCCAGCAGCATAGAAGTAGAAAAGCAGCAAAGGTCTTAATTTTTCAGACTCTACCCTTCACCACTGTATCTCTTAACAATGGTTAAGAAAAACAGGAAAGCAACTTCAAACCCATTTTTTTTGTCTCCCCCATATTTTAATGTCTTCTATCTGTTTCCTGAAAGGGTGGTCTTTTGACGTGATAGCCTCTCCAGAACACAGGTTACAGTTTTCTTTTGCCTCTTTCATATTAAAACAGTGGCATATGAAGATGCAGACAGTTGTAAAGCCAGCAGTATTCCTTAAAGGCTTGGCAGTCTCTGCGTGCTTTATAAGGAAGAGAAGAAAATCAGGGGCTAACATTTTCCCCTCTGTTACATCAGTGTAAATCCAGAGTGTCTTTGAAGTAAAGTCAGTGAATTGACCCCAGCAGAGTCAGAGCCCAGCTTAACTCTTTCCTGTTCCCATTCACAAAACATATTTCTTGTTAAGGGCACAGTTCTTACTTGGTTATTAGCATTAGGCTCTAATCAGATAAAACGAGTTATTTCATTAGAACAGACTCTACATCAGTTTGTCTCCATTACTGTATGAAAACAATACCAGACTTGAAGTGCAGAAAGCATCCCAATAAAAACAGGGCAGAAAGCGGCACATTCAGACTGATACTTTAATAGTTGAACAGAGGAGAGAGATTCCTAATGACTAGGAAGTTACAAATGCCATTCCACTTTAAAGAAAGAGAGATAAGATCCAGGGAGTCACAGGCCACTTAGCTTAACCTCTGTGGTTTCAAAACTACTAAAACCGCCTGTGCAGGAAGCAGTGGAAAGTTACTTACAGACACAAGGGCTTAGAGATAACCACTGAGGCATTCAGACAAATCTCCCTGTGCTTTATGAATTTACCTGATGCTTTTTGAAGATAATATAGTGACAAACGATAAAAGGAATAGAATTGACACATCTAGATTTCTAACAGACATTTGATGAGGTGCTACAGAGATTCACTGAGAAGATAATACCTCATGGGAAAGTGACTGAATACAGTGCAACAGACTGTAAATGAAAAACGCTAGCCACTATCAGGCTACGTTCTAGCAGTGTAAGATAGCTGTACGTGGCTATATTCTAATTGTATACATGTGTATACAGTATGTGAAAGAGCATGACTTGCCAAGCAAGTAATCTGGCACAGATTGATACTGCTGTCTCTCAGCACGTTCAGTGAGACGTGAGTGCTCTGTGATATCACATGGATGCCAAATCACCAAAGAAGAGGCAGGAAAGTTGAAATGGCTGTTATTCACACTTGTGCCTAGCCTTCCTATCTCACCACCTAGTCTGCATTTTTCACAGAAATGAGGAACATTAACACTTTTATACCTGCAGCACTTCAGATCAAAACCAATCAGTTTAGGTGACTACTTTAAACAGTCAGGTTTGGTTAAAACTTATTTGAAAGCGGACAAACTTAAAAATAACATCTATCTTTATATTAATAAAGAAAGCACTACATTTTAACTCCGAGGTTAGAGCTACCACTACTTAAAGTGTCTTCAACCAAGAGTGCTAACATTCAAACCATAACACTCAGAGTTATGGCTCACATGAATTTATAGGAAAATGAAAGCACGTGGATAGCATCAGCTACATACAATATGATTATACAGTTAAAGGACATCTGTTGTTATGTACATTTCAACATAAATTAGGGTTAAGTACTTTCAGAGAAAAAGAGACACCGAGCTCGTGAAGGTAATTTCAGAGGTTCTACCAAGTTTTTCCTGGAGGTTTAAATTACTGCGCAAGACAGATGCCGGTATATCACTGCGATAAGGAACCTGTCTTACCATCAGCAAACTCAAGAACTATTATGGCTGAGGGGGGACTTGTACTGAGAATCACCCATCAGCACAGGTCATTTCCAAAATTATCAAACTGAAATACAAGCATTTAATTTCTGACTGCACAAAGATTTGTATTTTTGTTATTTTTTGATTAAGTAATGCTCTGTTGTCCTTCAGAAACCCAAATGCCTACTCCAATCGATATAATATTCTGTAGCCTTTTCAAAGGAAAATGTCCCCTTTGGCCACATCTCAAAAGTATAAATCTAGCATGCTTTAGAAGCACACCATTACTGGCACTCGTTAGAAGGAACCCGCGAAGTAAATCTGTATTTTGAATACGATCACCTACTCTTATACCTTTAAAAACAAAAGCACTTTTCAAACATCTGCAGAACCTATCATTGGAAATCTGCGTCTCCTTCCCGGTCAAATATCAATTCCAACACAAAAATCTTTGTTCAAATAACATTAAGCCTGTAACGTAAATGATTAAAAGCCAGGAAATTCAGCATTACTGGTGTCACTCCATCTCTAGCTCACGCTATTGGGAAAAGAAATAGCCCTATGAAATAAGCAAAGGTTTACTATTAAGACCTGTAAAGGGGAGACCACAACAGGCATGCTGACACACCTTTAGCTTAGGAAGCCCAAAGGAGAGTTGATGTAATAAAAGACCCTGGTATGGTACAACACATGGTGCTCACTGCTAACCTTGTAGGTCTACTAGAGCAAGATAAAGCTGCAGGATTCAAAAGGGAAAACACGCCACTAAAATGGCGAGTTGCTATGGCTGACATATATAGTCAAAGTGCAAGAAAAAGAATCCTTAGGTTCCAATATCCTTTGAGAATAGTTTTTGAAACGCTACTGAGATCTTGCACAATTTTTTCTCACAGCAACTACAAGTAAAGTTTATGGGTTTTAGTGGCTTTGTTTTTCTTACTACTGTTCCTGCAAATTCATCCAGAGTCACAGAGTTTTGTGACTCATGCTTCATAGCAAAGGACTGGACACTTACATGGAAAACAAAAAACCACAGACTCAAACGCAGCAATTAAAAAAAAAAAATCCATGCGCACACAGTCATCCAGGAGTTTGAAAAGGATATAAACCCACAAGTTTGTGAGCATAAGCCAACTCCTAGTTATGAAAAGCTACAAAGACGTTTATCTGGTGGGCAAATGATTTCATGATCATCTCCTGCAGAGTTTTCTGAATCTTCCTCTGAAACAGCTGACAATATTGGACTAGATACAGCAGTGTCTTAATTCAGTGTGGCAATTTCTATTTTCCTAGCAACTACAAAATCTTTATGGAAGTAGAGAGACAGAGCAGATTCCACTTATGATGCCCCAGAACTGTGCCATTATGCATGACTACTAGGATTAAGTAAAATGACGAGAAATGTCTTTTTTCTTTAGAAAATGTATTAGGGTTAATCTCAAAATGAGAACATGACTCTTCTTCAGAATAATATGAGGTTTTTTTTAAACTAATTTCTTCAAATTGTGAAGTAATAAAACTTTTTCATATGAGGAACTAAAAAAAAAGAGTATTTAGAGAAGAGATTTACATGCTTCCCTAGATATACAACAGCAAAAATCATTCAAACAGATCAGCTGAAAGTCACAGAATGACTGCCTCTGCTGAGGAACCCACAAGTCTCATGTGGCTGAAGTGAAGTCTTCTATCAAGATCTGCAATAAAAATTCCATTGCAGAACAAACACACGAGGCAGAACAAAATTCAGCATCAAATCCTATAGCTGTGAGTTTAGCAGGGATGAGAAAAGGCTTGTTTGCAAAGCAAACAAGCTATGGACACAAGAAATAGGCGTGAAGAAAAGGCTGAGCCACCTTTATTCAGCTTGGTCCTCATGGTCCTCTGAGATAGGTCTAGTCATATTTCTGAGGACCTGTAACACTTTGCAAGATCACAGATATACAGTACTCAATCAGTCATTAACATCCTAGCAAGGACAAGCCCATCCCTGGCTATCGTGCATCGGTGCTGCACCCAGTGACACGAAAGGGTAACTGGCCTGCTGCTCTGAGTCAGCAGATTGTCTCTACAGCCTCACCTCAAGCTCCTGTTCCACACACAGAGGTAGCAATTCCCGTCCTGAATACTCATGTACGCTGCCTTACCTGCGTTGTAGTAGAGGTCAGGTCTTTCCAGAATATCCCCTTCATGGATGTAGGGCTCAATGCGATCATCACCATACAGATACTGCTCACTGTCATCCATCTGCCGACTCTCCACCATCTCCAGCCACTGAGAGTTGTGCCATCGAAATTTCTCACTCTGGATTTTTTTAGCCCATTCCTCATCATATTCCTATCAAAAAAATCACCACATAACATTTTAGGATGAGGTATAGACAAAGCTGTTTGGTTTAACAGGAAAAGGCAGAGGAATTTAACATCAGCGAAAGATGTACGTTTCAGGGGTCAGTGAAATGGGGCCAAACTCTTTTCAGTGGTGCCCAGTGACAGGACAAGGGGCAATGGGCACAAACTGAAGCAGAGGAAGTTCCGACTGAACATAAGGAAGAACTTCTTCTCTCTGAGGGTGACGGAGCCCTGGAACAGGCTGCCCAGGGAGGCTGCGGAGTCTCCTTCTCTGGAGATATTCAAACCCCACCTGGACGCGGTCCTGTGCAGCCTGCTGTAGGTGACCCTGCTTCGGCAGGAGGGTTGGACTGGATGACCCACAGAGGTCCCTTCCAACCCCTACCATTCTGTGATTCTGTGACTGAAATCCTCTATTCAGTTTGCAGAGTACTTTAAGCAAACAAGCGGATGATATTGCAAGTGCTAGGCATTATTCTGGTTTTGTACATCCAGCAGTACTATCTTCCCTTCGTGGTTTGTAACTTTACACCATCCAGAAAAAAGTCCTACTTTGAGCAGGGAAGTTCCATCATCATTATCTGCTCATCTGGTTTATCAAGAAGAGCCAATTACTGCCAATGTTCAGAGGGATTTTAGTAATTAATTACTACAACTGGCCAAATACTCTGTACTTCCTCATTGGATAAGCATTCACTAGGACAAGTAGTTACTAGAAAATACAATAATAGAAGGTTGTGATAAAACCGATAAACCTTTATTTTGTTTCGTGAACTCCAGTAAGACAGGATTTAATTTTCAACTTCTTGTCAAATTTCATAATGGCCTTCTATCTTTAATATTCAATACCCACAAAAACGGTACACAACATTTGTAATAAAGAGGATATGGAAATCCAAGGTACACCACTAAAATCTGAGAGGAACTTCTCCAGAAAGCTGAGGAAAACAGGATATAATGTTCCGGCCGCTATGGAAACCCAACGTAGGCATGAAATTTCAACCTGGATGGCAGCCTAATTGCACTCAAGTGAGGTGATATTCAACATAAAGGAGCATCAGAAGAAGTGACATAGCCTATGCTCACTGCAATCAGCTGTTTCGAAGGCTCTTCTAAACAGACCACACTATGTGGGCTGGTGATTACCACTGAGGGACCGCAGACCTGTGGATAATACTCAGTTTCTCAGTATTACTGGAAAGACAGGGCACAGCTAACTATAGGAAACTCTCAACATATGAAATCTGCAGATGTTGTCAATCTGGTAAGATTCACAAATAACGCACCATGGTTAGCATGCTTTTTTTAATCAAAGGATTGCGAACAAGAACAATATTCATAACCGAAGTGTTTCCACTTGTGGGAAGAAATAACCTTGTGAAACAGGTTCCAATTCACCATCTTCTAACCCAACTACAAAGGAAAAAAAAAATTGAAAATAATTTCTTAACTCTCTCACTGGTTAACACATGATCTAGGCAGATTTTCCTTGGAGATCTAGCTGGAGTAGTTTAAGGTTTTTAAAATCTCTTTTACTTAGCCCTGAAGGGGATAAAAAGTGTTCACACAGTTATGGACAATACCTTGGCTGCAGAAGTAGTAATTTCTTAAACCGCTCCAGCTAGACATTCAAAAGTAGATCTGTCTATAACCAGAGGTCAAAAAATAGCAGTGAAGACAGAATAAGTTGTCTTAGTAGCTCAGGTTAAACTTCTGAAACCCCTACAGACTGAACTTGAGCTTTTAAACTGACTTAATATCCACCCTGCCTTGTCTTCACTGCTAGTAACCTGACACAGGTAACACACTCCCCACCCCGTGCCTTTTCCACCCTTCTGACTGGTCAATAATTCAAAAACCAGCTGACCCTCTCACTCTGGCAGAGGATTCTGCGACATCGCTAAGGAGTACCCAGAGAATCCAAGACTTCAGGGGGAATCATTTCACAATCTGCAACCACAAACCTTTATCCTATGGCAGTGGGCTTTGAAACTTTGTTTTATTTGTAGAAATGGCAAGTTTGTTTCTCTTGGCTTAAAGCAGAATGTAAACTCCCTTTTGATGGGACATCCATGCAAGTGCCTGCAGATCTGCGGCACTGATCAATCTGTGGCATTATTCTCGTCTTCTCCAATTCCACCTCTGATTACAACTAATTACTAGACCTTTCTAACTCCTCTCCGCACCATCCTGGTACACAAGCAGTCCTGTTCAAAACCTGGTCTCCTGCATAACTTCCATACCCAGAGCAGGCATCACCCATGGGAACCAAACACCCAGAACACCAAAAAACCAAACACACACCTATGCCTCATACTGTTTGGAAAAGAACATCTCATGCTATTGCTGCCTCCTGATCTTCCCCTTCTCTTCCACTCTCCATTAAAAGGGAAGGCTAGAAATAACAGTGCAAAACAAGAGTTCCCCTGGGAAAAACAAGCTCATCACTGAAATTTATGAAATGATCCATAAAAAAAATATGAAAGGGCATGACTTTCGATGATGACATCTTACCAGCATCTTGGAAACATCTCCTTTGCTGCATCTGCCAGAGCTGAAGTGTGGGCCTCCAGCAGTTCTGAATTATTTACAAGCTTTAGAAAAACACCTTGTAACTGCCAGAAATCATACTGCAGTCTTAAGAAAACTATTCCCAGAAATCATGATTGCAAAGAAGTGGGGTAAAATAAACACATTTAACAAACAGCAAATTAGTCTAATCTGTGGGAAAGCTGAATCCCTTTTACATTACCTTGTTTACCTTTAAAAGTTCTCAAAAGCAAAGGCCAGCAGCTAAATTACCTAATTCACATTTATCATAAATACACTTTGAAAACTTTTATTCTTCCCAGAGCTACAACCCCAGAAGAATCCTACTTGCCCAACATCTGTTAAATTCCACAGCACTGTCTGAACATGCTAAATATCTGTCACAAATAGACATGAACTTCTTATAGCCTTCTAAAAAAAAAAATAAAAAAATCAGTTAACATTTCTCAGATCCTAACTGATTTTTTCTTTTGGACAATGACAAGAGGGCAGAATGTTCCTATGTATTCTACATTTCTCGTCCTATATGAAGAGGCTTAAAACTCCCAGGTATTCTACCTCTATCATTCAACTAAATTTTGGAAAACAGGATTAGCAACTGAATAGCAAATTAGCAGCTGTAAGATTGAGCATATCTGCACATCAGTTAGAAACCACAAGTTATTGGTTCAAGCAGTTTGGCTATTTTGTTACATTTGTACCTTGTATTTCACTATGAATGAGCAACACGAACAAAGAAGTGACTGCACCAGAATCAGATCAACGATCAGTTTTGTCCAGAGTTTCATCTCACAGCAATCCTAGAAAAGGATGACTTGCAATAATCTAGAACGATTTACATAACCTCAGCACAAAAAAGTTCATTTAAGTACTGCTAGATCAGGAATATGTCTGTAGATTTTCCACAGAAATGTGCAGAAACACCATTGAGTAAATGATTAACGGAATAACATCAGAATGGAAGAAAAGCTGTAAATGCAGGACTATGGCCAAAAGGCGCAAAGAAACCAAATTAAAGAAGTTTGGAGCAAAACAATTCCCTAAAATACAGCAAGTCTTCCAGTAATTATATTTTGAGCTATTAAAAAAATTTTTTCTTTTTAGTTTGGTAGGGGTTTTTTGGTTTGGGTAGATTTTGGTTTTGTTTTTTTAAACACATGAAGAACAGCTTTTCTAAGGAAATCCTGCAAAAATTAAACCAGAGAACTTATCACTATGGAGACATAAACATAGCTTTGTGCCCAGCAGTCCTTTAAAATGTTTTGCTACAAGAAAAGCGGCGGGTGGGGGAACAAGAAGGTGGACAGAATGCACCTACTCCCCAACCCCTTGCCCCCAACTCCCCAAATACTGCATGTTCAGAAACATGAAAGAAGGAATCCTGAAGGTTGGTTTTATTCTCTTTGGAGCTCCCTGACATCACTGTTTTTAACATTCGGTTTCCATAAATCCAAAAGTGTCATAGAAGATGTATGGTTCGACTCTGCGAGGAATGTGCCATCCTTTTTGAAGTTCTGCTTCCAACTTTGTTTACTACTGAACCATTGAAATATTATGAAGCGTTAACTGGCCTATTATCAGAGCGTGTCTGTTCCCTATCAGGGGTCCCCTTTGTCACTGGCTTCCGTCACACCTTGTATCTGATTAACACACTATAGGATAACATAGAGCTACACAGATCTGCTTTGTGTTCTCTCACAGCTGATGAAAAACAGATTTTCCTTTTCACTTTAATGTGGTTGCCCCTTAATTGGGTCTGTAATAGGGTTCATTTGATGTGATTCCTCATACTGATCTAAAACTGCTATACAGTAAGCAGAATGTTCATTATGTTCAAAGCTGTATGTGGTGATATGTTACAATCTTCATTATTTAACCATCCCAAAAACACAAAGTTTACATGAAAGGTTAAATTAACCATTTATTAAGAAAGAAAAGATGTATCTTGTCTAGCTATCCAAAAGTTAGGCACGTCATTTGAACTAAGTGCCCTATAAACCAAGGAGAGAAACAGATGTTATGGATCACCTTCCACAGGTGCCTACGACACCTACCTTAGGGTAAGCACCAGCAGAGGGCAATTCAGGCACAGGCCAAAAAAAAACCAAACAAAGAAACCCTTCTACCACTTACACCTGCGCAACCCAGAGCCAACTCTTCACAACCAGGTTTATCACTGAATACGTTCTGATGGGAAGCTAATAGAAACCTGTGATCTGAAGCTAATGGCAAGGCAGAGAAGAGAGTTAACATTCATGCCCCCTAAATTTAGGTGTCTACACAAAATGCACACGGCTCACAGGGGTCCTATATTGCCAACAGCTGAAAAGAGAAACTTCTTTTTCCCTTTTGAGGAATGTAAGGTATCTCACTAGCAAGCTGTTATGAAAGTAACAGGTTTCAGTGGTATGGCCCACATTCATAGTCTTACAACTCCAAAGAGCAAGCACCAATGCGAGAAAGAAATCTGTCCACAATTATTGTTGCCTTCACATAAACCTACCAGGTCACGCCTGTCCAACCTGATGCCACCTGCAGTGTGGCTGTTACTCTTCTAGTCCAGGTAGAGCCCTTCCTGCTGGGTGCATGCTCTTTGCCACAAAAAGCTACCAGCACCAAAGCAGACTGATTGCAAATTTAACAACACAGAAGCTGATCAGTGACAACATACACCAAAAGTTCTGCCTGCATTCCCACAGCCTAGCTGCTCTTCTGCCCACCTCTCTGTATTCATGACTGTTAGAGGACAACAGGGGAACAAGAGAAACCACAGAGAGAGGGAGTCATGACATGTGAAGGGAGAACCTTTCTTTCCTGGAGTGACTGGAGCACTCTTCACAGAAAAAGGACGCCAAGCTGGAGTCAAAGGTTATCTATTTGCAGAGTATGCTGTCTACCCAAATGAAGCCCACACCAAATCCCTGTGGTCTGCTCTTCCTTGATTCCGAGAGAGCTGGCCAATATCTTCCGCAGCTGGCCCCAAATCCCAGAACAATGAGGGTTCACATCACATTCCTGCTTCTTCTGTGAAATTCCAGCATTCCCAACACAGAGGATTTGTGTCAGGGCACTTAGCTAACAAGGAAAGATGCAAGCCATTCATTAACACAGCTTTCCATACAAGGCAGACATTGTTTGGCATTCATTACAAACACTTGGGGCAAAGAAGGAGAGGTGGAAAAACACCTTAGGTCCTTCCCAAATCACATAAACAATGCTGTTGCTCTCTAGAAGACATTTTGCTTCTGCAGGAAACGTTATAATCCACTCTTGATCAAAAGGGAAACAAGATGGTACAGCAGGCCTAGAGTCAAAGCTGTAAAAACACTGAATAGGAGGAGAAATGGGGAGGGGTAAGTCTCTGACTACACAGTCTAAGGATCTGGTTATGGTTAATTAAACATCCTTCGAATAAATGAGGAAAATCATTTAACTGCAGTAACACTGAGCTACGAATAACAAAAGCATGAGAAACCTGAGAGATAAACAACCCCCTCAGCTCTTTATAATATTGTCTGAGGTGAACAAACTAAAACCACCTTGAGTAAACCATCTTCCCCAAGCTTTGAGTTGCAGGTGTCCAGGCTTCCGAGTCAGAGGAAAAGGGAACTTCATTTACCCAAGACTCCTACACCAGCTGTTGATTCCAGGCTTTCAGCTGAGCCACGCGACCTGTCCCGCTTTAGGTGTACAAGTACACTACACGAGCTGCTTGGTGTCAAGACTTGGCACATGACACGAGACTCAGGCATTCCTAAATTATCACCACAGCCTTTCTTTTTGACCAATATCTTCCAACTACCAGTGCAAAGCCGAGACTCCCCAGTACATACTATGCTAAAGCAGCACATCTGTTTCAGTTCATCAATGGCAGAGTCCAGCCAAGCTATATTAAACAAATCATCACTAGTATAACATTTCCATAATTTCTGTGACAATTACTTTACTGCAGAAAGCATATCTCCCCTAAGGCTTATGAGGCATCTGATTTTCTTCAGTGTTATTTCAATCTCACTATATACAGCTCATTGATGAGTGAAAGAAGCATTTGTCTCCCTGAAAAGAAACTACTTTCAAATCTCTGTTCTCCAGCATTTACTTTCTGATTTCCATCATTAGAGGAACTAATCCTGTCAGCATGTATGCAACAACAAGACTGAAAACTTAAGTTTTTCTTGCTATGGATTTAGCACAGATAAGAAGTTTCACCAATCTTGGAGACTAGGTCTGCTCAGACACCTCAGAAGACACTGGTTGTGTAAAACTGCCACACAACCAAACACCTCAGCATTTACAGGCTGCTCTGCCATATCCTCTGAGCTGAACGGCAAAACACCTATCAAGATGTTAGGTTCTGGTAACTTACTGTTTCATATTTTCTCCCATCACCATCTAAGATGTGTTACCTTTGTTGCCTGGGATTTTTGGTACTGGGAGAACGTGCAACCAGCTTACAACATTGCCAAGAAAGCAATCAATCAGTGGTGTCCTCTGCCTTCCAGAGAAGGGGGCATATGGTGCGGGCACAGTGTTAGTTATGCTTTATGCAACTTTTAACCTAACAGCTAGATAATAAAGCTAAAAAGGCCTTCGCAGAAAAGGAACTCCCCAACATACCAGTGAACACCATTCTAAGTGTAGCACTGCTCTAGAACCAAAGAAAAAAAAAAATTTTCCACCCCACAAACTACTCCCAGTATGGGCTTGATACCTTCTCCCCCACCTCCAGTAAAGGCAGTACCACATAATTTCCTTGCTTTATTCTTCCTCAAGGCCTTAGAAGTCCTGTCTTGAGCTTCTTGCAAGTTGAGAGGCCTTTCCCATCTGTTACTATAGCACTCATTTATTCATGCCTCTTCTTAGGAAGAAAAAAAGCAGAGGATATTTTACTCAGACATTAATGTGGAATGTGAAATTGTGTCTTAATGTACTACTACTTCTAGATTCTGCAAAATAAATGTTGCTTAATACTACTACTAACATACTAGGATCTAGTTAGTGAAAAATTATGTATCCTATTGTAAGCTCCCCCATACGAACAAATGAACCCCTGAAACACCTGGAAACTTCACTGACCCTAAGTTAAAACAAGTGTTGGAAGCACTCAGTGTCCAGCCTCACCCAGAGGATAAAAATCTCTCTACTGTTTCCACTGGGGATGTCCCTGGAAATAACTGATCTTTGTAAGCTGAACAGAATGCCCATCACAAAGAAGTACTAAGTCCAAATTTATCTTAGTTGAAATCTTGCCTTTGGTGAATGTCAGCAGCAACCCTGCCACCAACTAGTGGAGCATGATTTTCATTCCATACCTCCCTGAAGCAAAAACAGAGCCAGATAAAAAGAATTCCAACACAGGAAGTGTTATGTCATTTTCCTTCTTTCGATGAATATTAAATTAGAAGGCATTACTAATAAGTTTAACAGAAACAGAAAATAGACTGTAGTATTGTGCAGCATAAGTTAGGTCTTACGCTATATTAAACCTTTCAGAGAACAAGCTGCAATATGCGTAATTCATCTAAGGAAGAAACTAAGTAAATGACAGGAAAAGCACGAAGGTAGTCAACGAGACTGCTCTTGACTTAGTTAAGTTCTCTTTGGCTATAAGATTAATTTCATGATAGTTACTCTACATCCAAGTGAACGTACAGTCTGTACAATCCTAAGACACTACAAAGTACCAAAATTTCTTTTTGTCAGTAGAAGTCAACTCAAACAGGCCAGTAGGAATTTTAACAACAAAATGCAACTTTTAAGTGGAATCAGTTTCACAATGTCTTTACTCCAATGAAGAACACCCTAGAAAACATTAATGCTTCTAGGATCCCCAGAAGCAGATGATACACGCTGTACATGCTATAAGAGCTGACAAAGCAATAGCACTTTATAATTTAGTATTCTTTCTTTTTTCCTAGTTAGCAGTTTAATACAAAACAACTTTTCGAAAGTTTATTGTGATCAACGGATAGCTGGACAAACTAAGTCATTTAGCTATAAGGAAGCCTATCCAAGAGTTGAAGACAATACTAAAAATTTCAGTATTATACTGACTCTTCCCGCAGCAGAAATAACCAACTTCAGGATCACCGCCCACATTTTCTTTTTGAAACAAATACTGGCATCAAGCAATGTAGAAGAGCTGAATAAAAGCTGCTGGGTAACAAGAGCCATTTGTTTGGAGAACTAAGAAATAACGAAAGCTTGACATACTTACGTAATGTGATTAATTTATGTAAGTATTAATACACTCTTTAAAAGCATCTGTAGCATAAAGCTAACTGGTACGAATTTTCAAAGTATAAATGCACTTTCTGGAAGTTTGGTACACAGCCTAAATTAATGATTGTCATTGTCCCACAAAAATTGATCATTTACCTATGTGATTAGAAAGTTGCACATGAAAAATACTATCAGTTTGCAAGTTATTGCTACTTAGTTATTTTAGAATTATATCATGTAAACATGTTATTGAAGGACAGATGATAAAAAAGAATCAGACCTACCGCTATAATATCCAGAGTGTTGTCACAAACCTTGCGAATCTCAGCATTTTTATCATGCATCAGGTCTATAAGATATGCTGGAGCCTCTGGAAAGAAACTGTTAAGGATAAAAGCTATTTTTTTCACAGCCCTGGGTTCTTCCAACTGCAAATTTCACTAAGAATTGTAGTCAGGAATTTTCCATCACATGTGAAGTTCAGCAGCCTTCCCTCAAGCACTTTTTTATTTATATCACATTTTAAGATACCCGTATATTCTTCAAAATTCCTAAAGAAAAATTACATGCCCCTTACAAAGAAAATACATTCTGATCTCTTACAGGAAATCCATATATCCAACGTGTTAGTCCAAAATGCTAACATTCTGTGGAATGGTTTAATCTTCTGAGACTGTTACTCTTGTAATCTTTAGGGAGTTTTCTTGTTTTAGAAAAAGGTTTCCAATGTATTTGTCTCAAAATTATTGAAAATCTATTGTGCAAATGATAGCATTAATACTAGTCTTGTTCAGTTTGTGTGAGAAAAGCATTGTTCAAATGTTCATTCTTTATCATTACAGATCTAAAGAGAAATGAATTTTTTTGTTTGTTTTTTAAAGCTTGCCACCTAGGACTCCAGACAGGAGACAAAAAACAACATCCCACGACACTCCACAGAGCTTTAAAGGAAAAACCACATTAAGAAGTAGTCCTTGTATTGCTAACAAAGTAATCACTAATCAGCTATCCCTCCAAGGGCTCCATTCAACCTATTCTTTACGTGTCGATGAAATTTAACATTCAGCTAAGGCCCACAAAGACATCTAGTGCTTCTTTCCACAGTTTTCGGATCATCTGAATGAGCTCAACATCAGCAGTGACTGAAAGAATAAGTAATAAAGACTGAATAAGACTTATAAGTACCATACAAAAAAAACTGAACAGACCTATGACATGAGGAAACTGAAGAACGGATTCAGTCATCAACAGACAGGCTTGAAAGAGAAGAGGAAAGCCAGGAACAGAAACGAAAGTCTCCATAGTTGGACGAAGATGGAAGAGGTATGCCAAACATAAAATTCAAAGAAAAATTAAGTGGATGAAAAATACAGAGCAGGCATTATTTGTATTGTCTAGAATAAGAAAAATACTATTAAAGAGTTCTAATGCACTTAACTTCAGACTACGCAACATATATGTATAATGGTGCAGTGCAAGAAGGCTGTCTATGCTCCATGTAAGTTTTTCTATGGACTATGATTTTGACTATGATTTGCAAACCAAATTCATGCAGTAATTCAAAGTGGATAGGAATTACTGGGTTATCTGGTCCAGTGATATGCCTCCTATCCCTCTCCCTGTTTCAAAGCAAACTAGCTTTTAATCTTTACTATTAATCTTGCACTCCCTCTACATGCCTAGGCTGCTTGGATTTTTTCTTCAGCTGAAATAAACCATTTATAAAGAATCCTCTAAGATCAGGAGGCTTACGCAAGAGAAATATAGGCCAAACATCAGTGATGGCAAATTAAGTGCTGTAATTCTAGATGTGTAATCTTTAAAAAGATACGGGTTTCCTTGATAATGACATCTCTGGTGGCTTGGTGGAAGACCATCTGATAAAATACATAGATGGTCTGGCAGACAAACTCATCATCTTCCTACTGAGCTGCAAGGAAAAAAAACCCCAAAATTTCAGATCTCACAACTAGAAGCTCTTGATGCTTAGAGAAATCCCAGCTCTTACATGTCAGCTAGACAATTCAGTGGTGCACGTGAGATTTCATCTCCGACAAGATAAAATGAGTGTTTTCTTCCCTGCTCCAGTCAAGTAGAAAGACCACAGATTGCAGCAAGAGTTGTGGAGGTGTGGGGAAAAAAAAAAATCAAAACTGTTAGACCACTAGTCAGTATCTCTCTATCAATAACAGAGTAATTGCTCCTCCTTTGATATACAAGACACCTATCCCTGCCTTGCAAGAGAAATTGAATGGTGCATTCAGTTACACCAACTAAACTTCTCTGAAAAACCAGGCCTAAAGTCAAACATGGCAATATACCATTCAGAAGCTCAATGAGTGCAGGGATGATTCCAGATTTAGCCAGCAGAGCAGCACAAGAGTCATCCATAGAAACTGTTCCGATCATTATCACCACTTCTAAAACGAGGTCATCTTCTGCAGAACCTGCTAAACCAGAAGGCAGACAGTATTACCTCTCAGAAATTCTTAATCTTGTGCTAGCTGTACATTTATCTGCAGATACGATTTTGTTCTTCGGCGTTGTTTCCCTAAACAATCACAAACATAAAGGGAACCAGACTCTACTCTGAAAGAGCACTCTAAGTGCTCTTCGAGAGACTGTACTTTGAAAGACTAACCAAACTTTGTACAGACCTGGTTTTAGTTTATCCTTGAGGTATGGAACCAGTTTGTACTCTTTCAGTACAAGTTCCCAGTCCAGATCTGGTAAGGTCAAATTTGCAAGTGTTCCCAGGCATTCAATCACAAATTCCTCCTCTTCACCATTTGATATTTGAGCTGCTAAATCACCAACATAATCCTAAAGAAAATACAGCAAGAAACAATACAGGTGAATAATCTGGGGTTCTGAAGAGCTCACAACTTGGTCAAACCAAGACTGGTTCTCAAAAAACATGCTACAGAGACTTTTCTCCTGAAATGAGGGCTAATAAGGCAGTTTCAATTTCAGCTGAAGAATAATCCAAGAAAACATTTCGGTATTCTTTCCTTCCATTCTTTCACTTTCAACAGATGTAGATCAGTTGTTCAGATGTTCCAGAAGTTGCTACTACAAACATAGTTTGAGAAAGCTGTTAGAAAATAGGAGAAAGCTAGCAGCAAACACCATACTGTGTTAGTGACGGTAACGGAGTCCTCTTCCTAAAGATTTCAGCAAATAACGACAACGTTTTCTCGGGATGTGAACAGGAGAATAATGGATGCTACTTACTAATTCCATACTGCTTTAAGACAATTTGATATTCAATCTATATTCAAACATTTAGGATACTGTGGTTCCCGCCCTTCTTTTGAAAGGCTGGCTTGACATGGTTAACAATCTTAAGTACTCAAAATTTTAACATATCCTCTTCCACAAAAAAACCCCACCACTTTATTTTGCTCTCTAGCTCTAAAAGCAAAGATTTAGGGTAACTATTAATTGTTATGATGTGCACCCTAGCAGCTGTTTGGTTTTCTTTTTGTTCATTTGCTTGGGTTTGTGTGCTTGTTTTGGAACAGGGACTTACTGGATACAGCTTAAGATCTGTTTTCCTTGTAGTGAGGGATCCAAATCCCCATCTACCAGCGGAGATAGTCTTATACAACAAAACATACATCAACCTATGACAGCCAAGAAAACTTAAACTGGACACCCTGTCAAGACAAAACACAGCAGCTCTCCAAAGTCAGTCTTCTCCAGTAGGAAGAATCAGAGATCACATCTGGTAATAGAAAGTACTTACAATAAACAGGCTTTTAGTTGGCCCATCATGTTGAGAAATATTCCTGATCATCTTCATTAACAATGGGTCCTTAAATTTCAAAGCCCGCTTCATTAGCATTTTCAAACCATTTCCTCAAAAGAAACAAACACTTAGAAAATGCTCCGAATAAAACAACAAAACGAGGAAAGTACTGGCCGATCAAAAAACACCACCACACACTCACAAAAATAAAACAAACTGCCTTAAGTTTTAAAAGTTTAAAATGAAAAAGTGAAAAATCTAGACAGGAACTATTTCTTTTTCCAAGTTTAAGTTGAAAGTAAGATACCTGCTTTATGTAAATTCTATAGCTTCTCTAAAACGACTACTGGTGGGTGGTGGGACACTTAAAGTCAGACAAACAATTAAATGCTTCAGGTGTGCGTAGTTATTTCATAGAATCACAGATTCACAGAATCATAGGTTGGAAAAGACCTCTAAGATCACCAAGTCCAACCATCACCCCAACACCACCATGCCTACTAAACCATATCCCTAAGTGCCACATCTAGATGTTTTTTGAACGCCTCTAGGGATGGTGACTCCACCACCTCCCTGGGCAGC